TGGGTCTCCCACTTACAGCTTCCCAGGCACATTAGCAGGAAGCTGGATTGGAAGCTGAGGCAGGAACTGACCCCAGGCACTCAATATGGCATGAGGGCATCCCAAGTGGTGCCTTAACCAAATGGGTTAAGGCACAATGCCTACCCTGACATGCAAGTTTTTATAAAGAGTATTTTTGCTTCACGGTTTGTGGTGGAATGAGAAGGCCATGCCAAGATGGCAGATGGCAAGCGAGCGTCAGTTACTCAGGAATGGCTTTGAAACCCACCTGGCAATGGAGCCTGCCTGGTAACGGGCTGTGATTGGATGGCTTTGGAAACCATATGGCAAATGGAGCCTGCCTAGCAACAGGCTGTGATTGGATGGCTTTGGAGCCTGCCTGGCAACAGGCTGTGATTGGTTAGGGCATAAACCGCCCCTTACCAGATCGGCTGCCTTGGTTATTTAAGCCGCTGTACCAACTGAAATAAACGAGTCTGCGGGCTGCTCGCCTCAGGCCTGCTTTCACCCAACTCCCGGGGTCTGTGTGGTGACTCCGCGCCTCTTGCCCCCACCACGCTCCTCCTCTCAGAACGAATCCTCTCAGAAAGAAATCAGCCTCCACAACGGTTGGCTAAATTTGCTGATGGAAAAGCTGACATTGCAGAGGGTGAACATGCCGTTGTCTTTAGACGGCTAACTCCCTATGAAACTCCACTCACCTGACCCTTTCTAGGAAACTTTCTGAACACCCTCTGCCTTGCCACCGTGTGTGACATTCTGTTTCCATGCTCAGCATATACTTAATGGTATTTACTGATTCAGCAGCCCAACTCCTTCCTACCATACCGGGGTTCTTAAAAGCTAGGAGATCACTCGGGTTTGCACCACAGGCTCTGTGATACACTACTGTCCAAAGCAATGGTTTCCGAAAACTTAGCATGTGTCAGAATCACCTGGAGATCTAGTTAGAACAGACTCCTGAGCCCCTCTCCGAGGTATTTACGTCACTAAGTCTGGGGTGAGGCCCAAGGGTGTGCAGCCTTAACGAGTTCCCAGGTGACGCTGATCCTGCTTGTCTGGAGACCACACTTCGGGATCTCCTTGTCTGGGTCACACTCGGTACTCACTCAACACTCAGAGGTTTCGAGATTATAAGTTCCATTTTTAGTTGATTTGAAGCCCAATTTAATTTCACACGTTACCCAGAGTAAGGCCAACACTCCTAAGTCATTGCACTGCCTGTCTGCCCAGGGGCTCACTAGGAATGCAGACTCCCTGGCCCCGTGGTAGACCTGCGAAATCAGAATCTCCATCTCCACAAGACGCCCAGCTGAGCCACACACGCCCAAGCCTGAGAAGCTGCTCTCCCGTGCCACTGTTTTGGAGCAGTTTCACAAAAACCAGCTTTTACTAATCACCCCACTTCTGAATTTTCCGTGTTCTTTGTTCCCAGGATGATGGTAATATTAGATTTATTTACTTTTCTTCTTGGTAAGTAAACCAAGCCTAAGGCTCTTAAAAGCTTTAACTGCTTAAATTATGTGAATTTGATTTTAATCATTATTCACGGATTCTTTTTTATGATGCCAAAACATAGAAGGATGAAAGGGTGAAATAACTATTGAAGCGGCAAATTATTTCAGCAAAAAGAAAAATGAATAGTAGAGAAGCACAGGAGATGAATTATACTTAGAAAATAGAGATGCTTCAGTCTGAAAACAATTCTGCAGAACAACTGTTGAATTACAAATTTTTAGAAGCAACTATAGACTTAAAAATTAACTAGAAATTTTACTATGTTGACCTACACACAATGTTTACTTTAAACAGTAACAAAGAAAGCTAAATACATTTTCAAAATAAATTAAGAAATAATAAGATTTTTCTAATTTTTTTGCTTTTGATTTTTTTTCTTGTTTGCACTCTACCAATGTTTGGTAAAACTGTAATTACTCATTAGCCTGAATTAAAAGCATTCCAAATAAGTATTTTAGATTACATGTTTAGTTTGGGATTCTGTAAATTAATGCCAGATGTTTGAAATTTTCAAACAAATATTACTCCTTTCTGAGTCAGAGTAAATTAAAGAGAATTTTTATAGAACATATGAAATTTAATTACTGTCTTAGCAGGTTAGCTTTAGGGGAATTTTGTACCACTAGAAATGCATGTAGCACTGGAATTTAATCTACTTTGGTGTCTTTAAAAGTCTTTCAGGTCGGGCTGGCCTCGTGGCACAGTGGGTTAAGCTGTCGCTTTCTATGCTGGCGTCCCATATTGAAGTGCTAGTTGGAATCCCAGCTGCTTCACTTCTGATCTGGCTTCCTGTTAATGCTCCTGGAAAGGCAGCAGAAGATGGCCCAAGTGCTTGGGCTCCTGCCACCCACCCAGGAGACTAGAATGGAGTTCCTGGCTCCTGGCTCCAGCTTGGCCCAGCCTCGGCTGGTGCAGCCATTCAGTGAGTGAATCAGTGAATGGAAGATCTGTCTCTCCTCTCTCTGTTGCTGTGCCTTTCAAGTAAATAAATTTTAAAGAATCTTTTGGATTGACTTACAGAAATAAAACCTAAGAAAGAAATAAAACTAATTACTACTTCTTTCCATCAGTTAATGATGCAAATTTGGGAATAGTAACCATGTGGAACAACAACAACAAAAATCAAAGTAAAAGAATGGCCAGGCCTGAAGTCAAGTGTACTGACAGTAGTCCAGATTGCATGTGATTTAAAGCAGGAAGCAGGAGGAACTCTTTATATCTAGGGGAAAGTTAAGTAAATGCTAATAAATGAAAAATTTATTAAGGGCTGTATTTATCTGATGTGAATCTTCGGCTCTATAGGAATAATTACATGACATTTACAAGTTCCTGAGCTTTTAGTAGTAACAACCATTAATTGTGTTTACATGGTTGGGGGGCAGATTCAAAGAAGTACACCTATTAGTTAGACAAATCTACTCCAACACGAATTCTTCAGGCTCTGCGATGAACGCAACTCGTTCTGATTTCACAGACTGTGTTGGATTGCCGGGGCCACAGTAACACAGCAGGTGCTGGAACGACAGAAATGCATTTCCTCACCGTTCTGCAGGCTAGGAATCCAAGACCAAGGTGCCTGGCCAGGTGCCTCTTCTTGGCCTGGTCTCTTCTCCATTTCTTCACACGGTCCTCCCACTGTGCATGCCAGTCATGTTGGATTAGGGCCCAACCACATGACCTCGCCTGACCTCCATCACCTGTAAAGGCCCTGTCTCCAGAGACAGTCATAGTAGGGGGGGCAGAGGGTAAGGACTTCAACACATGGATTTGAAGGAGCCGCAGTTCAGCCCGTAACACATCCCAGTATCCTTTGGATTCGAAAGTGAATTGTTACAAACATGAGGCAATGATGATATTTTTTCCTAGGACAGTGATATTTCTCACAGTAGTGATAAATGACTGCTCTCATCTATCACCAAACATTTGTTCCATGTGAACCCATACTCAAGATAAATGTACTCTCAGGGATCTCAACAAATCAGGATTTTGAGCCTGCAGGATCCTGTGCCAGACTGTCAAAATCACATTTCATGCATCCCCTTCCATTCAAAGAATCCACTCCCAAAAGTACTGTGCTATTGGGGGGGGCGTCCCTGAGCCTGCCATAGAGAAACCACATTTGACATCACTCACCTGCCACCACTTTACTGGGGACTGCCCCTCCCAGGAAGCAGAGGAAGGGAATAGAAGTGAGGTCCTGGAGAAGGTGTGACTCGGTTTTGGAACTAGCACAGGTAATTGCCTGGTCTTTTAGGATATTTTCATGAAGGATTTATGAACAGCCCATCTGGGAGGACAGAAAGGGAGGAGAATTCATCCACTTCTCCCTTGGGCTACATCTCTTTGACGCAAGCTCAGCCTTCCAGTCCTGTTGTCAGAGTCAACAAGGCATACAAGCCACACTTGGAACACATGTGCACTGAAGTCATTGGCTGGGGGCATTTCCGGTTTAAGTGAGAATCCTGCTTTCCACTGGCAATGCTGCTCTTAGGACATTAGCACTCTGGGACTCCCCAGCAGCGACCAGAGAAGCCAGAGACTCCCAGATCCAGCACACAGGCTCAGAGGTCGGAGCACACAGGACTCCTTAATAGCAGTGTGCTGGTGGTGGCAGCAGCCACAAGGAGTCCACGCTAGGAGGAAAGGACAGCTCCAGGCCACGGCCCTGAAGCAAGGCAAGGAGTGGAAGCCGTGAGGATCAGGGGTATGAAGAGGCAGGGGAAAATGGGCATGGCTGCACGGATGTGACTGATAAATAACCCAACTTCTGTAAAAATGAGCTACAATTCATCATACTATATCTTCAATGTCAACCACCGCTCCCACTGCACTGGGCACTGGCATTTAGAAGTCATTCAAAGTTTCTGCTTGAATATTGTGTAAATCCTCATTTAAAGGTGCTTCATGGATATGCATGTAATGAAATAATTTGAAGAATACCACCTTATTTTGTTTAAATTTTTTTTTTTTTTACTTATTTGAAAGGCAGAGTTACAGAGAGAGGAGGAGGGGGAGGGGGAGACGGAGGGGGAGGAGGAGGGGGAGGAGGAGGAGAAGGAGCAGAGAGCTCTTCCATCCACTAGTTCACTCTCCAGTTGGCTGCAAAGGCAAGGGGTGGGTTATGCCGAGGCCAGGAGCCCAGAGCTTCTTCTGGGTCTCCCACATGGCTGCAAGGGCCAAACACTTGAGCCATTTTCTGCTGCTTTCCCAGGCGCATTAGCAGTGAGCTGGATCAGAAGTAGAGCAGCTGGGTCTTGGATCAGCGCCTATACTGGATGCCAGCATCACAGACACTGGCCCCAGATACCTTATTAAGTAGAGGGCTTTCTAAATGACTACTTTAGTAAAAACAAAGTCCCCTTGCCTGCAAAATCATCACACATATTGCTTTCTGGATGCCTCTGAAAACAAAACAGGAAGCTATTAGATGGCCTCCATCAAGTACTGGAACTATTACTCCATAAGGAGGAAAAAAAAATCCATTTTTCAAAAGAAGTGAAAACATTAGTATTTTTTATTTAAATGTTTATAAAGCAGATCTATGAGAATGATATAAAAACCTGGCATGTAACTTGATAGTGATACTTTGGAGATTACACAGATTTAGCAAATATCAATTACACAGTTATAAAGAAAACAATATTTTCTAAGCAGATACAAAATATCTAATGAAAAATCAAGGCAAGAAAATGAGCACAATTAACTGACAATGGAAATCCAATTTAATATGAATTGCACATTACCCTTTACAAGATTTTAAAGGTAAGAATTATTGCAGCCTATTTTATTTGAACAGTCTTACACAGTATCATGATAAAGAAGCCAAATCCAGAAAGGATTAATTTTGACTTCAGGTAGCAAATAAACCCAACATTTGCAATGGCTTAAATGCAGAAAAAGCTGTGGAAGTAGGGAAATGCTCAAGGTCTTTCTAGTCTAAACTGCCTTGTGGGGGAGGGGGTGGCCTCAATCCTCTGAGGACAGTGGCCAGGGCTCCTGCTAAGTCCACAGCCCCAGCAGCAAGGAGGAAGCAGCAAGAACACGGGCTGCTGTCCCCTGGGAGACTGGATCTCATTGGGCAGCAGGACAGCCAGCTGCAAGGGAGCTGAGGCGTGGGAAAGGTAGCAGCTCGTAAAAGGAGGGGAACACGACTTCCATTGCTGCCCGGCTCCGAATCTACAAAGCTGAGCAAGACCTGTACTGAGAAATCCGGAGAGAACACGTTCTCAAGGCTGGCAATTTGGAAACCACACAGAAGCATCTGCTTTTGTGACTTAATTTAACCCATTTAGTCACCCATTTAGTCATACGGTTGGGAAAGCTAAAAAATTTCTCAGTGTGTGTGTGGGTCTTGGGCCGAACAAAGGACATTTTTGTCTCAGTTGGACAGAATCTTTGAAAATTCAGCACTTTAAAATTTTCTCCCACTAAAAAAACTCAAGAATCTATTCATTCCAGTAAATCTCATTGTTCAAAGGTAAGAACAGATTGTATTTTCACTAAAATTACTGCAGTTCCATTTAGAGCTAATGACAGATACAGAATATATGCCTGACTGTGTTTTACTACTTATGAACAAGTGAGAGTGGAACATGTCATTTCATGATGACACAATCTTGACACTGGCCTGAGGCTAATATACTCTGTGTAGTAGGTCATAAATTACTAAATAAATTCAACGTAGCATTTTAGGCTGTTTAAACACGTATTACAAAATGTGGACTTTATAGACTGCTATAGCTATAGTTAGTTCAGTGTTTACAGTATTCCTAAAGAAATACCTATAAGTTATATTTACGGTACTTTATTTAAAATATCACCTAGGAGACCTTAAGTTTCATAAATAAACCTCTTTTGTGGGGAAAACTCTTCATATAGAATCTATTATGAAATAATTTAATGGCAAAAGGCAATTAAAAAGAATTAAGGTTTTATATCACACTAGACAAATGAAAAAACTGAATATGCTATATTCTCAAAGCCCTTTTACACAGTTTTCATAATCTGACTGATGTTAAGTATAAATATATCTGAAGCTACTGTCACAGAATTTTGAAAGTAAAATTCCTTAAGTGAGGGATATGCTAATTTACAAAAATTAACCAGGTAGTGTAACACCAGATCTCATTAGCCATCTTTATGTATGTAGCCCAAAATAATTATCTCAGATAAATATTTATAAATATAATTTATTCATACTTTTACATATTTTAAAATTTAAATAAAAATCTCACATGTAGACTATCTGGGCTGATTTCCATATATGCTTTGAAAAATAAATGTTAGCATGAATATAGTCATATTTAAATATGACTTTAAAGATTCTTACTAGAGAAGACACTAAGTCTGTACATAAAAGCTAAGTAGCATGACGTAACTCACGGTTATTTTCCTCATAGGAAAAAGTTACTAGATTTTCTTTGCATAGAATTAAGACTGGGTATATTTTCTATATTCTTCTAATTTTCTCAGGGGTGCTTCTCAAAACACCCATCAGGGCACAAGTCACTGCTCTGAAGTTAACACTCCATTCTCACATTTACCAACAGCAGAAATTAGTCCTACCTCTGAGGACAGCAGAATGATGCAAAAAAAATACTTACTAGGAAAAATAATGATTCACAAACATAATCACATAAGCAGTAGAAGCAGTAAAATCAATTTCGTTTTTAGAAAGGCTTTAAACACTTAGCATAATAATTAATATACTACATTTACCCTACAACTTCAAGATTATCTCATTTTTATAAGACTGAAAAGGAGATATTATCATTTTGAACAATTATGTCTTTCATACATTTTCAGAATTTTTTTTATATTTTCAAAGGCTTCTTTTTTGATTCTTTTATTTATATTGTGGGCTACTTATTATAAACATGCAACAATATACTTGAGTAGTCATCTAACTTTTAGAACTATTTCATTGTATTTCCAAATTGAATGTTTAGGGTATGGTATTCAGTGAGTGAAATTTGAGGAGCAAGACGGTATTGAAAATATCTTCAAGTATGACAGTGTGTTTAGGTATTTACCCTTAAAAGTTATCATCCAATTGAATTCCAACCATGGACAACAAGTGATCCCCAAGAGGGGAGAAATGTAATTAAATAAAGAACACAGAGAACCCAACTGAATAATACAAGATATTAAAATTCACCAAGCAGAGAACATCAGAGAGTCTTGAATAGTTCATCAAACCGACAATGCAATGGTGGGAAATCAGCTGGTGGTGGGAAAGGTAGAGCCCGCTAAAGAAAAGTCCTTCTATTTTTGGCAGCTGGATTAAAGTCGGTGGGTAAGTTCAGAAATGTTATAATTTCCTGGAGAGGAATGCATATAATTGCATCTTGGCTGTAACTTCCCATCTTAATAAGAGTCAATGGAAAAACACATAGAGCATTCTAAGATTTGAACAAAACACAATTTGAGGTGGAATGTCAGCACCAAAAACTTGTATGAATAATCTGTATGATTCTGTCTCTACAGGAGATCTGTAATTAACCACTTATCCTCACACCCTTCATGCTGTAAACTGCTCCGTAATGAATGGTTGTGCAGGCAGGAGGGATGGTCTGGCAGAGAAAGGGAGATGACCAGCCCCACCGGGATTATTAAAAGATTCTGCAGGACCTCAGTAACTTATTGGCACTGCTGTGGCTCTCTCTCTGCCCCAGGCTTCACTGCACAGGGAGGCACGCAGACTGCTTGGGGTCTCCAGGCTCCTGTTGCAGTAAAGTGACTGGACTGCCCAATGAGCAGTATTGTATTTATGACTGACAGAAACAAACCACTGTCGAATGCCAGTGTCATCCTACAAAAGAGGAAGCGTCTTTTATGCCTGGGGATGGAGCAGAGGCTGTGCAGCCCAGTAGTTACAACCGTGGCTTCTGAAATATGGTTACCTGGACTTGCAGGTTCACTCTGCCACTTACTAACTGTGTGGACTTGGGCAAAAAGGTAAGTAATGCCCTTTCTAACCTTCAGCTCCTCATACACAAAAGGAGGATCATACCTATCTCATGGGAGTTGTTTTGGGTATTCAATGGGGTATCACAAGTGAATGCTTAGCATGGTGCCTGGTACATTATAATCCTTCACTGAATATAATCTGTAAAACCGCGTACCAGAGAGAGTGGTGTTGGCTAACGTGTGGTGACAAACAACTAGTAGTTTGTCTAAGAACAATTACACAGTCCCCAGAACTGGCAACATATCTGAGATGGCAGTTTGGGAACCCAAATATTATGGAGTCCTCTCCCTGATCAACATATTAATATGAAAATGAAACTGCTCTGCACATGAGAAAGAGTAAATTTTCATGAGGTATGCATTATCAGCATGTATGTCATGTCTCCAGTGCACTGTTAAAATAATTTCATGTTTGTCTTTTAAATTTGCTTTTATCATAAAATCACATTGCTTCATACAATTAGCGACATTCTTCACATCCTATCTTATGAGAGAAATACAGGAATGTTACTACGCACCCTTATGTAGATGCTACTGTAATGTATCATTTCTTAAAAATGATGTATGATTATGCATTTCTATTTCTTAAGTTGAATAATTAAAAATTTAAGCTTCAGAAAAAATGTATTCAATGAATTATATTAAAAGCTTAAAATTTTGCTGGTTTGCATAGTATTTTTAACATTATGCCATATCTATATTGCTAACCATGACTATTTTTGCCCGAGTATGAAGTAGTTAAAATAACAATTGTGTTACAGTTGTGCAAAACAAAAACAAAACATACCTAAATTTAAACAATATGCTGACTACAAAAATTCATATTGGCAAAATGTGACACTTGTGAAAATTAACTTGAAGAAATTTCTGTAACTAATTTGACTGCACTCTCATTTCACAGGTATCATCAACCTGCCTCACTGACAGCGCACTTAGAGCGGAACACAGAGGAAGTCCTCAAAACACCTTCCCGTGGCAGCCGGGAGCGCCACTCAGCGTCACATCACCGTGACCCGCTCCGGGGAGAGCTGCGGGATCGCTCCGGCAATGCCTTCTTCCGGAAACTGGCTCTTTTCCCAGCCTTTCTTGATTCTTTTTAGCTTTCGGTTTATGCACGGAAAGAGCAAAATGATCTTACCCAGAATGACAACTGAGGGCAACACCAGAGCAAGAACAAAGTTTGGCGGGGTGTAGAACCTGTAGTACTCTTCCTCGAAAGCTCGCTTCCAGCCGTAAATTAGGACATGGAGAGTGCTTATGAGCAGAGCCACGTACCCCAGTGTAGACTTGGGCATGGGCAGGGAAAGGAAGCAAAGAGTAAGGGAAAAAAATCAGTCAGACTCGTGGTCTAAGCCTTCCAGATACACCAGCTTCCCGTCTCAATAAAACGGAATTAAGCACTTTCTAACCACTTCTTATTTTCCACCTATACAGCTGTATTGACTTATTAATATGCATAACTTATTTTACACAAAGAAGGCCACATGTGTACATTCAACATCCTGATAACTTCATTTATTCTATCAGGGTCATTTTCCTTACGTCTTTAAATATGAAACCATTCATTGATACTGCATAATATGCTATTAAATGCATGTGCATAATTTTGTTAACCATTTCTTTTTGTTGATTATTTACTGTTTTTCCCTTTCTTCAACTATAAATGATGCCACATTAGACCCTTTTCAATGTCTTTATTTATCAGATAGTAGTGGGATTATTGGTCACAATGTGTAGCTTTTCCTTGTGTGTCGATAAACTCTGCTAGCTTTTCCTTCATAAAGGTGTTCCACATCCCCAAAGTGGTGTACACAAAGGAACTTACAAGTTTATAGAAAATTAAAAAATAAGCTTATTTGGGTGCAAAAATTTTGAAATCCATGCATAGTGTTTCATAATAAGGACTTCTTATATATGTGAGTATGTATATGTATACATACATATAAATACATAATAAACACATACATGATGAAATTACATGCTGAAGAGCATTCTCATGGGCATACAGACATGCACACAAACATATATATGTATATATATACACCACTAGTTATAGGTAAATATGAAAAATTCTACACTATTAATATGTAATATAAATGGCAATTAAATGTAAGGCTTTAATGTCAATATTAAATGGAATTGAGAATATTTAAGTCAGGCAGTTTATAGGTTGAATTCTAAAATCTTAGCGTTCTTTGGTCCCCTAAATTATTGTGTTTAAGACTGCTTACTTAGGCTGGCGCCGCGGTTCACTAGGCTAATCCTCCGCCTGCGGCACAGCATCCTGGGTTCTAGTCCCAGTCGGGGCACTGGATTCTGTCCCAGTTGCCCCTCTTCCAGTCCAGCTCTCTGCTGTGGCCCGGGAGTGCAGTGGAGGATGGCCCAGGTCCCTGGGCCTGCACCCCCATGGGAGACCAGGAGGAAGCACCTGGCTCCTGGCTTCGGATCGGCGCAGTGCGCCGGCCATAGCAGCCATTTGGAGGGTGAACCAATGGCAAAGGAAGACCTTTCTCTTTCTCTCTCTCTCTCTCTCTCTCACTGTCTAATTCTCCCTGTCAAAAAAAAAAAAAAAAAAAATGCTTACTTTGAGAAATGGTCCAGGTTACAAAAAGTAATATTATATCAGTATAATGATGTAATGTCTAACTTCACAGGGGAAAATACCCACTCATTCAGGCAAAGTGATTGCAATTACTCATCTAAATTTGCAATGATAATTTGTACCTGTCTAGCACCTTTTATCAGAGAATTTTCAATTTCTTTTTAGGTGTGATTAAACTGGTAGTTGGGAAAATATTCATTTTCTCTTCTTCAGAAAGGGAAAATGAGTTTAGACAAGGGTTATGTCCTGAATTTGAATGACATTTTTACGTGATTTTTTTTTTAAAAAGCTCAAACAGGCAAAGAAAGGAAACAGAAATATACTACCAAGGGACACCCATCTAGATGTTGTACTATAAACACTTTGCATATAACCAAGATATATATTTTGTGATATGTAAGTCAGGTCTAAGTTTGAGCTATATGTTTTTAAAATATGCAAACTAATTATATAGGTATTACTGGAGAAGGCGAAGGTTTAACTTACTGCAGTTCTGAACTCCTATACATCCGCATACGGCTGTTATAGTAAATGAATTACTAGCAGGAGTCCTAAGGCTGGCTGCTGCCATGTCCATGAACCTCGTCACCTGGCTTGACACTGCTTGTATTTGTGTGTAGTTTGTACACAGACTCACAGTTATTTAAAATGCTTGACTTACTTGTTCCCCACTTGAATTCAAATGAATGATTTTTCCTCTGGACAGATTAAGATGAGTCAAGACAAAAAATATGTTTTCCTTTATTTAGCCAATAATAAACTAACTTGGCAATTACTTTCTTTTTCTCTCTAAAATAACCTTTATCTTGCCTTTCAAATAAACAAGTAAATCTTAAGAAAAGAACCTGTATCTGCACATGTTCGGGGGTGCTGTCAGAGCCTTCAGGACACTGAGGATCATGTCTTGCACTGACGACACCGGCCTGGTTCTAAGCTGGCTTCCTGCCATGTGTTTCCCAAGCTGCATGCACAGATACAGCCCCCAAAGGCACTCTCTCTAGAGGGAGCACATTTTCTAAAACATTTTATTTCAGACTAGTTCTAAATTTCCAAATATACAGGAATTGTGAGACAGTAATGGCTCCAAGGAGCAGGTTTAAAATGCAGCTTAAGAAGGAACTCCATGCAGCCCCAGACCTCACCAAACAAAGCCACACACACCTGAATGAAACTGAATTCCCTCCAGTTGAGAGCGCTGCTCACGGAGGGGATGGAAGTGACCGCCAGCAGGGAAAGCAGGCCGAGGCTCATGATGCCGAAGGAGATGTACATTTCGATCCTCCAGACCTCCTCCTCGTTCCAGGAGTTCTCGATGTTGGCATGGACCTGATAAAGAAGGCGGATGTGAACGTCCACGATCTGCTGCTACAGTGACTGAGCACCGAGTTCCCCCTCCTTCACACACGAACACACTTGAGTTGTATTAATTCGACACTCCGGGGACCTCGTTACTGTTCAGAGTAGAAGGGAGAGGGGAGTTAAATGTCAGGACTCAGCCCTTCTGCTCATGTCATTGTATCTGTGATATCCTCCTGTTACAGGGAACCTGGAGTCCAAGACCATGAAATACCAAGAAGTGCTGGCAGTCACACTTGGGTTTGAGGTACTTTCACAAGCTGGTTTAAACTTGTTTGAATATACGGGGTACATTCTTGTCTTAATTCAGCTTAGAATTCAGGCAGGCAGTTTCTTTCTTTAAAAAAGTATTATTTACTATTTTTTAAAATGTGCTGAAGGGTTGGGGTAGAGAGAGAGAGGAGAGAATCTTCCATATGCTGGTTCACTCCCCAAATGCCCACAACAGCTCAGGCTAGACCAGGCCAAAAACCCCAGGAGCCTGGAACTCCCATCCCGGTCTCCCACGTGGTGGCGGGGACCCAAGAACTTCACTCACCGCAGGCTGCCTTCCAGGGTGCACAATGGCAGGAAGCTGGAACTGGAAGTAGAGCCAGGCACTCTGATACGGGAGCAGCGGCTTAACAGGCAGTGCGAGTGCCCACCCCCAGGCAGGAAGTTTCCGGACTACTTTTATAGCTTCCTGCCTCACCCAATTAATGTAGCTGAATTGATTTATCTCTTTCTTCTTACCTCCTCTTCTCAGGAAGCTGGGTTTTCTCTGAGGACAAAGCTCTATAAGGCAAATATTTACTTGAATTGGTATACAGCTGCTGTATTTGGATACAGTGTTTTTCCAAATGTGAAACAAGTTTAAGTACTAGAAGTTGCCTAGGTAGGTCAGGATGCCCCGGATGCTTGCAAAATGCAAAGTATTTTATGCGTTTGTTTTGCTGCAAGGTCCTTGGCTTTCATTGAGAAATGCTACACCAAAGAGCTTCAGGGAAATCCCTCACACTGTATTTGCAGAATGGGAATTACTGAGGAAAATCCGTTTACCCTTCCATGAAGGTATTTTTCCTGCTGCGTGGTAACAAGAGCCTTTTAAGTAATGGGGTCTCCTTTTTCATTGTTTCAGAAATCACCAAGCCAAACAGAGCTGTGTGCACACTCTGATATGTGTTTTCTACTCTTTTTATGTTGTTATTGGTTCTAATTTTATTGTCCATGTTTACTGACAGTTGTTTGATAATTTCGTGGACTGCCAATTATAAAACTACATTAAGATATATAATGCTGGAGCCGGTACTGTGGCATAGCCGCCACCTGCAGTGCCAGCATCCCATGAGTGCCTGTCTGAGACCCAGCTGCTCCACTTGCAATCCAGCTCTCTGCTATCGCCTGGGAAAGCAGTAGAAGATGGCCCAAGTCCTCAGGCCCCTGCACCTGCATGGGAAACCTAGAAGAAGCTCCTGGCTCCTGGTTTGAGATCGGCCCAGTTCTGGCCATTGTGGCCACTTGGATGGTGAACCAGCAGATGGAGAAGATCTCTCTCTCTAACTCTGTCTTTCAAATAAATAAATCTTTTTTAAAAAGTCTACCATATTAAAAAAAGATATATAATGCTGTTGTAACATAAATGATTAATGTTATCATTCAATGATAAAAGCAACCATTGCAATCATAACACTATGGAAAAAAAATAAAAATCAACATTTTATTTATTAAATTATATTCTGCAAAGCAAGAGATGGTAGCAGCTTCTAACCTGATGTTGACTTACCCAAATAATTCTTATTTTTTTATTAAAACTGTTTATATTTATTTGAGAAGCAGAGAGAGACAGCCAGAACTCCCATCTACTGGTTCACCCTTCTAAATGCCCACAATAGCCTTAATCTGGGGCTGAAGGCTGGGAGCTGGGGATTCAGTCCATGTCTCCCCTGTGAGTGGCAGAGACCCAACTACTTGAGCCATCATCACTGCAGACAGAAGAGAAGCCTAGTATCAATCTTTTTTTTTTTTTTTTTGACAGGCAGAGTGGACAGTGAGAGAGAGAGAGAGAGACAGAGAGAAAGGTCTTCCTTTGCCGTTGGTTCACCCCACAATGGCCGCCACGACCGGCGCACTGCAGCCGGCGCACCGTGCTGATCCGATGGCAGGAGCCAGGTACTTATCCTGGTCTCCCATGGGGTGCAGGGCCCAAGCACTTGGGCCATCCTCCACTGCACTCCCGGGCCACAGCAGAGAGCTGGCCTGGAAGAGGGGCAACCGGGACAGAATCCGGTGTGCCGGCGCCGCAAGGCGGAGGATTAGCCTAGTGAGCCGTGGCGCCGGCCCTAGTATCAATCTTAAGCACTCTGATATGGGACACAGGCATCCTAACCAGCATCTTTTTTTTTTTCTTTCTTTCTTTCTTTTTTTTTTTTTTTTTTTTTTAAAGATGGAGCTACAGAGAGAGGTAGAGACAGAGAGGTCTTCACTCCCCAGATGGCTGCAACAGCTGGAGCTGCGCAGATCCGAAGCCAGGAGCCAGGAGCCTCTTCTGGGTCTCCCATATGGGTTTAGGGGCCCAAGTACTTGGACCATCCTCCACTGTCTTCCCAGGCCACAGCAGAGAGCTGGATCAGAAGAGGAGCAGCCGGGACCAGAACCCATGCCCACATGGGATGCCGGTGCCTCAGGCCAGGGCCTTAACCCACTGCGCCAGAGCACTGACCTATAACCAGCATCTTAATGATAGGCCAAATCTCACCCTTAGCCAGAATACTATTCAGAGTACAGTTCTTTTCCTCCCTAAATAAACCAAAAGAAAACATGCATTAGGAGGTATGCACAACGTCACAGTCTGTACTAGCAAAGGCATTCACTGGCATCAGATGAGTAGCAAGCAGAAGCTCAGTACCTGCTGGTAAGCCATGTTGAGAAACAGGTATCTTTCTGACCGTCTCATTGGTAAGCAGAGGCTGTAGGCAACGTGGACAACAGTGAAGAAAAAACTTAGTAATCCGAGCTGTTTCCTGCACTGCAACCAGGTCTCCAGCCAAGGCGGAAATCTCCTGTACTTGGTGCCATAATAAAGTTGATAGGCAGCTGCCAGGAGCCCTGCTAGGTACACCAGCGACAGTAGGGTAATGGCAACGACAGGCAAGGTTTTATTCACAACCTCAACAGGGATCTTGTAAAAGTCACTCTGCTGATTTCTCGCATATGGGTGGATCACATCTCTGACAAAGGAGTAAAGGAAGAAAAACGTGGCCAGGCTTATGGCCACCACTACTGGCCCTCTCCAGAGGGTAAACAGTCGCAGGGGTAAATTTTCAATCTCCCTGGCAGATGATAAAGATCCCAAGTCAACGGGGATGAAATTCAATTGACGGGCAAGTTCAATGACCTGCTGTCGAGCCTGAATATTGTTGCTGCATATATAAACCTGCAGGAAGAACAAAAAGACTCATCATTAATGACTGTTGTGGTATGTGTTTGTTTTAATCTGAAAGATAAGTCAGAGTCACAGAGAGAGAGGTGGGTGGGGAGAGAGGGAGAGAGAGAGAGTGAGAGACAGAGAGAGAATCTTCCATCTGCTGGTTCATTCCCCAAATGGCTGCAACAGCCAGGGCTGTGCCAGGCCAAAGCCAGGAGCCAGGAGCTTCTTCTGGGTCTCCCACAGGGGAACTGGGACCCAAGCAATTGGGCCGTCCTCCACTGCTTTCCCAGGTGCATCAAAAGGAAGCTGGATCGGAAGTGGAGCAGCTGGGACACCAACCGGTGCCCACATGGGATGCTGGAGCTGCAGGCAGCGACTTTACCCACTACGCCAGGACACCAGCCCCTAATGATTGTTGTTTAAAATAATGGCAGTGGGCACGTGCTCCTCTCAATCTCATCACTTGTGACAGCCTTGAGTGATGCAAATGATTCAAGTTAAGGAGGGAAAGCATTTATTAGCCTATTATTAATAGATTAGAAATGGTGCCATAAAAACAAAAAAGTCCTTGTCACCTGGGGATGACATGGGGAAAAAAGTGGGACGATCCAGCTGCAACCTGGGATCCTCAGAGGAGAGTCCTGAGGAGCAGCGAGCCAGGTGGAAAGAAAGGTGGCGCTGTCTGGGTCGCAGGGCGAAGCCTCCCTTCCTGCGGTGCAGGTGGACTCTAAGCTGCTGGCTCTGCCTCTCTCCCTGAGGCTAACTCCCCTAGGAAAGCGGGGGGTGGTGGCTCTCCCTGCATTGGGGACAATCTTTGTTCTAGAATTACAGTGATTCTGCCTACGAAAGTGGTTGCAAGTGCTGCTCAGATACAGATACTCAGCAGGAGACAGGATGGACAGGGCCTCAGCAAGGAAAACCTCAACATTTTGCCATGATGTTGGGCAATGTGTCTGACACTTAGCTTTAGGCTTAGACACCAACTTGGCTGAGCATCCCTGAAAAACCATGGCCAGTTTCAGGTATATTATTTCATGGGTCCGTATATGGGCAAGAGAAAGATTGCTACAGAGTCTCCAAGAAATGTCTAGTAAAACAAACTCCTAAATATGTCCCTGAAGATGTTTGTATAAGGGCTCTGAAATACGCCACACTGAAATATCTGCATGCTAATCCTATTTACATAATGGGGATGATGCGGGGGCTCTTTGGTTTCTTAATCTTTACTAACATCAGCCAAAACGAATGACAAATCCTATACTATCATAAAAACATTCATGAACTTCTAAAATGGAAGTCCTTTAATGCCAAAGAAATAAGGAAAAATAATTTATGAGCGTTGTGACAACAGTAAACTTTTTTTTCATTTAGGAATAAAATGTCTATAGACTACAAAATTTTATAATAAATCTAAAAGGATGAATCAAACATTCAAAATAAGGACACCAGCACTTTGAGAATACAAATCAAACTACTAACATAGCTTATTTTGGATTTAATCATTGTTACTTAATTTTTATCTGTTAAACATTTTAAGCAATCACAAATGTAGATAAAGGATTAAATCCAGGCTTGTCTCACAGGTCCTGGCTGTATTTCACTTGTTCCATAGCTATTGATAAACTTCAGCAGAGATACAAAAGAAAAAAGAGTATACCAATAGCCTCCAGGAAAGTACAGGTTGTTTTGCTGGCCTTTGCAACAGATTTGACAATGAAATGGGTATCATGAGTCTGATGTACAGCACACAACACCACTAACTTCATATTCATGTTGTAGGGAATCTAATCCACTGTCTTTACAGACAGGAGTAATAAATGCAATTTATCATAGTGCTCAATTACAATGCATATATTTACAAGATTCTTAGGGCATCCTTTTTTATGTCTCATGGAAACACTCATATCACAAAGATACGGACAGCACTCGCCACCTGCTGTATTCTCAAGTAGAATTAGATAAAGTGCTACATAGATTTGCACGCTCAGAGGGAAGCTAAAAGACATCCAGCCTGTCTCTACTTGCACAGATTAAAATCTATCCTTAAAAAACTCCAACTGTACTTTTTAAAATCCTATGAATATTTTATCTATGTATAATAAAAAGGCTCTCATAAAGCATTCTTCTTGAGATTCATGTCTTGCTCGGAGGTGGAATACCGTGGGAACAAATTTTGGCAGGGAAGGGAGAGGGAGGAAAAGAGCAAGAAGAAAACAGGTTTGTTATTGTTTCTGTGTTTAGGGGAGCCAGGAGAGACCCAGTGCAAGGAACCTCATTATTCACTGGCCAGCACCACCTTGTCTTTAATTAACTGGCTGTGTCAGGGCAGACCACGTAACTTTCCTAACTTTCCTTGCTTTCCATATGGCTTTGAGAATGGAAATGACATGCATTTCCAGACACTCATATGTAGTTTACAAAACAATCACTGAAGGGAGTCAGAATTTGTTTTTAAATGTCTGGTATTTGTTTAACTATAAAACACCAGATGAGTAACGGTAAAATTTAAATACACACCTGACGGCTGGCGTCCTTAGGTCCTAACTGAAGGGCCCAAGCTGAGATAACATTGAATCCTTTGACAACCAAGGAATCTGGAAATAATGAAGCCAAATATTCAGCATTGGACTCCGGGTACTGGTTTATCCTCATGTTATTGCTCACGTCAATTAGGACTTTGCCCACGAGCAGGTGCCGCAGGTCCCACAGGGAGGTGTAATGTTCTCTATGTATAGCAACGAATATTATATTTGTTTTTGTGAGAGCATCTTCATGATGGGTGACATCTACCACGTGAGGAAAAAATTCAGAAGCAAACTTAGGATTTCTGCTTCCTATAACCACGTGATAGCCACATCTAATCAGTCGAATGGTCAGGGATTTGGCAAAATCCCCACTTCCTATCACTCCCACAGTGACCTTCCTTGCATCTTTGATGCCATTTATGCCATTAGGCAAAAAGGTTTCACTTAGGCTCTTCGGGCTTCCCATCATAGAGATGGATTCCATGGTACGACTCTTCCAAGATCACCGGGAATATCCTAGGACAGAGAACAAGAAGTGTCCATCAGTTATCTATTACCGAGCTTAAAAATGCTTGTAGTAATTTAGCGAGATTCCACATTTCTAGAGGTAAACTATTATCAAGGTACAATTTGCAACCTAAAAAAAAAAATCTCTAAATAGAAAAATTAACTGCCACAAAGACAATGAGCCAAAATGGGGCTTCTCCCATTTTAATGTATGCATGAATCACCTGGGAATCTTTTTTGTTGTTGTTGTTCTTTTTTCTATTATTTTTATTTTAGAAAGCTTTTATTTAATGAACACAAATTTCATAGGTACAGCTTTAGGAATATAGCAGTTCTTCCCCCTATACCTGCCCTCCCAACCCCACTCCTGTCCCACCTCCTACTCCCTCTCCCATCCCATTCTTCATTAAGATTCATTTTTAATTATCTTTGTATACAGAAGATCAACTCTATATTGAGTAAAGATTTCAACAGTTTTCACCCACACAGACACACAAAGTATAAAGTACTGTTTGAAGACAAGTTTTACAGTTAATTCTCATGTTACAACTCATTAAGGACAGAGATCCTTCATGGGAAGTAAGTGCACAGTGACTCCTGTTGTTGATTTAACAATCAACACTCTTATTTATGACATCAGTGATCACCTGAGGCTCTTGTCATGAACTGCCAAGGCTATGGAAGCCTTCTAAATCCACAAACTCGTCAGTATTTAGACAGAGTCATAAGCAAAGTGGAAGCTCTCTCCTCCCTTCAGCGAAAAGTACACTCTTCTTTGATGGCCCCTTCTTTCCATTGGGGTCTCACTCACAGAGATCCTTCATGTAGATCATTTTTTTGCCACAGTGTCTTGGCTTTCCATGCCTGAAATGCTCTTATGGGCTTTTAAGCCAGATCCAAATGCCTTGAGGGTTGATTCTGAGGTCAGAGTGCTGTTTTAGGTGCTTATCATTCTATGAGTCTGCTGTGTAGCCTGCTTCTGGGAATCTTATTACACAGTAGATTCTGGGCTGTTTGTCCTAGTGGCTAAGTCAACAGTTGGGATGCTCATGTCCGTATTGGAGTACCTGAGTTCCATTGCTGGTGCCAGCTCAGACAGTTGCGTCCCTGACACCCATGTGAGAGACTTGATTGAGTTCCCAACTCCTGACTTCAGCTTGGCCCCGCCCCAGCTGTTACAGGTCTGGCGAGGCTCAGGATTCTGCATTTCTAACAAAAGCAATGCTGTGCTGCTGCTCTACAGAGCCTTCTCTGAGCAGCAACAGGGTTCCTGGAGCAGAAAAGGAAGAGACTGAAGTCTACACCCAGAATGTTTCCAAATACAGCTGTAAGGAGTGTGATAACCCAGCATCTCAGCAGGTCAGAGGAAGCAGCAAACCAGATAAGAGGCACACAGAAGGACCCTGATACCAGGTGACATGGCACACAAGACCACTAAGACGATACACTGTTTAAAAAGAGAACTCTAAATCAAAACTATAGTCATTTGTGGTGTGGTCCACAAACTCTCCCATGCACACTACTGGCTTTAAAATAGCTCATAAAAATGAACCCTTGGGGCTGGCCTTGTACTGTAGCGGGTTAAGCTGTCGTCTGCAATGCTGGCATCCCATAAGGGTGTCAGTTCGAGTCCCAGTTGCTCCATTTCCAACCCGGCTCCCTATGTATATGCCTGGAAAAGCAGTGGAAGATGGCCTAAGTCCTTGGGCCTCTGTATCCATGTGGGAGACCCATATGGCTTCTGACTTTGGCATGGCCCAGCCCTAGTTGTCGCAGCTATTTGGGGATTAAACTAATGGATGAAAAATACTCTGTCTCTTCTCTTCCTCTCTCTGTAGCTCTGCCTTTTAAATAAATAAATATTTTAAAAATTGACCTCTGCTAGTTTAATAAAATTATATTTAATGAAAATATTTTAACTATATTTTAAGAAAATGATATTTTTGGTATAATTTAAGAAATGATATTTTAAGAAACATAAGCATCAGGGCCGGTGTTGGTGCACAATAGGTTTAAGCCACTACTTGCGATGCCAGCATCCCATATGGGCACTGATATGAATCCTGGCTACTCCACTTTGGCTCTGGCTCCCTGCTGATATGCCTGGGAAAGTAGCAGATGATGGCCCAAGTGCTTGGACTCATGTGGGAGACCCAGATAAGAGTTCCTGGTTTCAGGCTTCAGCCTGGACCAGCCCCAGCTGCAGTGTCCATTTGGGGAGTGACCCACTGGATGGAAGATTGATTGATCTCTCTCTCCCTCTCCTCTCTCTCTCTCTGTCACTCTGCCTTTCAAATAAATAAATAAATATTTTTTAAAGTAGAAAAGAAACATGGGTATCAAAATATAGCAAAGGATTAATTAAATACCATAGACTTCTATCCTTCACCCTGAATCCTATGACTTACTGAGAAAGATAGCTTCCCTACGGCAAAGGAGTTAGCAATGTGTTCACAGTCTTAAATTATACAGCACTTGTGAAATCGTTTTTTTGCCCTTTCATTTGTTGGCTACAAAGCCCATGATGCAGCAATTCTTCCTGGAAAATGTTGTCAAGTTATTTTTTATTAAGTGACTAACATCTGAAAGGTTCCTATTTGTATAACTTTCTCAAGAAAGTTCACATCTGTATAACCTTGTCAGACGGCCATGAATCAGTGTCACAAACGGGTCTAAACGAAAAATACTCCTCCATTCCACCATTGCACAATTTCTTTTATGTTAACACCAGATGTGGACAACTTCAGAAGGTTAATGAGTTTTACAGGCACTGCTGGAATGTTTTACAAGCATGTTTTGTAGGTCTGTACTAAATGAAACCCCAAATTACTGGAGTCATGAAAATTCAACTTTTTACCCTAGAAATGGATCACATTCAATAACTGAAAACATCCATAAATCAAACTTGAAAGACATTACTGTCGGTACTATCATCTAGTTCTTCCACAGCACACACTGTTTCAGTTCAGCCTAGTGTTCTGCAGACACTGACTGACTGGATCTGCACAACCACCCTTGAGACAGGTGCTAACTTTGTCATGTCAATTTTGCAGAAGAGGAAGAGAAGGGAGGAAGCCCAGATCAGAACCCAGGCAGTCCAGCCAAGACAGGTGTCATCTGGGTGGATGTGAGAGATCTAAGAAAGGTTTTTTGGGGGTAGTGACAAAGGGATGGGTGTGACAGTCTGAACATGACTCGACTCCCCAACTCACACATGTTTCAACTCCAGAGTCTTATGTTAATGGTGCTAACCGGGTGGAGGCTTGGCTCAATGATAGGAGGAGGATCTGAAGCTCTGTAACGCCCACCCATCCCCCTCCAGCAGCAGGTGCAGGGGCGCACAGGCCCCTCGGTAGGGCTGGGCCTTCAGAATCCCCAAGGTGACTCAAACAACAGTGTGGCCAGCGTGGAGCCAAGCAGGACTCCCTGGTAGCATGGCCACTCCAGGGGGCAGTGGCCAGCACAGCCACAGGGAGAGCTTGGTGGGCCAATGTGTGGGCCCCTCGCTGGGCTGAGCTGGCATCCAGAGCTCCTCCTGGGGCAAGCATGTGCTTTCCTGTAGTTGCAGAGGGAAATAAAAAAAAAAAAAAAAAAAAAAAAAAAAAAACGGGGCAGGGGGAGGGGAAGGGTGGGCCTTAGGGATGGGATTGAATTGGACTGGGTTGCTAAGATGGGGCCCTGTGATCAAACCATGGTGGCTTTCAACCAGGGACCACTTGGATGGATGTGTGTGCTCCCTGTCTCTGTGCTTCCAGGCTGGCCACGTGACTGTTCCTCCCCCACACACTCCATCTGCCAGCCTCCACCCTCATTGGACACCAGACAAATGGGGTGCTTGCTCTTGGACTGTGAACCTCCAAAAGCGAGCTGACATCAACCTTTCCTTTATAAGTTACTTCCTCTCAGGTGTTTGAGTCGTGAATGAAAAGCTAATAGTGTGGGAAGGTTATGGCTGTACTCGTAACAGCGTACACTGCTTCTTCTTCGGTCATTCCATGGCTTCTCAGCTTTACCTAGTGATCTAATGTCTAATTTAGGAACTGGGAACAGAGAAAACTGATTTGAGGATCGACTGCCCATTTTATTTCACACCTTTCAGGACAGAAGAAGTGCTATACATCTGCTTTCCCCTAAGAGTGGTACCATGTACCAGGGTAGTACCAAACCATCAGCATCATCTTGGAGATACTACTGACTGTCTTCAGGACCAGGGGCAGTAAAAGGAACCAGAAATAATGGAATTAATGTTCATTTCCTTTGAATCTTAAGGATGAAGTGACCAACACTTAGATGCTATGTATTATCTAGGGGTGAAAAAGGTCACTAGATTAACACAAAGAGCTCATGGCCTTTATAGCACAGTCCTGAGTTCTTCTAAGTATACCCTGAATCATCTACCAAAGTAAAAGAACTACCAAACCTTTAAGTCTAACAATGAGGATGATCAATGTCTTTTCAAGCTACAAACACAAATATGTTACCTGATTACCTTAAAAAGTAAGTCAAATCCCTTCTGTAAATAAGAATATGAACAGGTAAAAAATACATTAGGATCTTATAATATCACCATGAGTCCCTTGTAATGGCACATATTTGATACATTTTAATGGGCGACTCTGGTCTAACATGTGTGAGATTTCCAAGGGCAAGTTCTAACCAAACCCTTTAATAGTGTGGCTATGGCTACAAACAGAAGTTGGCCTAATAAATGACTCTTTTCATGACAGTTTTAAGGTATGTATGTAAAAGCACCCAATAGAGAAAGGGAAACAGAGACAGGGAAAATGAGAGCCAGCAAGCAAGAGAGAAACAGCTGCAATTCTGTTATGGATCTGGAAGATGGCAGGCATTTAACACCATATGCTTGTGTGCCTTTTCATAATTCAGAGTTTTCAAATATAATATTCCCTTAATTCTGAAATGGTTTGGAGTAGAGATTATGCCTATCTTAGAGTCAGGGAGACACTCAGAACTTGAGTGATTTGCCTATTACAGTGCAGTTTGTGGTG